AAGTGAAAAAAATATAATTATGCTGAAAAGTAACGTCAGGGGTACCTTGCGTTCTTTATGCCATAAAATAATCATTAGCCCTAAAGAGCTGTTAATACGCATTTTCTCCCGTACAAACAGAGATTTTTTAAAGTAGTAAGGATTAAAAACTTACGAAAAATATACAGTTAAAAAAATTTTTTTTCCGCCCTTGGGTGGTTTTGGGAGGCTGGTACTTCCTCGGGCAAAAAAGCAGTTTTCCGATACTCGTTCAAAAATCCTTTACGAACCTCGTTACGGACGTCGCCTTCGGCTCGGGCTGCAAACCTCTCGGTTCGCAAACAAAGACTTTTCAAACTCGTAGGAAAACTACTATTTCTTATCGCAAAATTTTCTTACCAGAGCAACTAAGTCCTGGAGCTTAATCTCTACATGTATATGTCTATATTTGTACGGCTTACTACGACTACTATGTGAACAATCAAATGCGTTTGTCTTGTCTACCTGTAGATAAATTCTGGTCGCTTGATTAAATGCAAACTTTGTACGTGAGCATTTAAACGATATCCAAGATTTTATTAATGAACACTGGATTAATATTTTGTACGTCTCTGAAATTTGGCCAACAAGAGTAGTGTTCTTTGCTTTTTACTTTATCTAGTTACAAAGAGCTTCGATGGCTTAGTGGTTAGCATGCTAGCCTCCTAGCCGGAGATACTCGAGGGGTCGTGGGTTCAAAATTTCGATGGGATGAGTGCCCAGGATGCTAAAACACCACTTATACGAATTTTAAAATTAATAGTTGATTTTTTTTGGTGATGTCTGAACCTCCAGGGGCTTCCTTTTCGGAGGAATCTCAACACGTGGCCAGCTCACTGGATAAAGTCTTTGTTGATCATAAAAAGGTCCGTACAGTGAATTACATAGTTTATTGGAAAATATCTTTCCATTAAATCTTATAATTGCTGAGAATTTATAATTAATTTAGCTTTATAATTTGCTTGAGATAATGGCTGCACCCTGTAAATAGTATCCAGCAAGATAAATGACTGAGTCGTCTGAGAGAAACTTTGCAAGGGGCCCGCACGAAAGACTCACACACCGTGCGGTTAGGTCAAAAAAAGTTGAAAACAAAAAAGGTCGGTTATATAGCAAAATCTGAAAGAGTGTCCTAGAAATAAAAATACCAATACCAATTGTCAGGTTACATACTTGTCAAAAATGACCATGGATTGTTAGTAGGGGCAAGTAGGTACATGTTCACGTAGAGAGAGAAAGTGGCTATGTATTTGTGGTCCGATTTGAATTTTGTGCATCCTTGTTTTCCTTTCCTTGTGCACCCACTTTTACAGCTTAAATACAATCTAATGCTATGATGGACCTGTAGCTGTCGTAGTTAAGTGAACAAACTCTTTCGCTCGCCCGTTAAATCTCACCAACTCAGGTTCAAGAGACGCTATCAAGGAACATTTTTTTTTTCTTGTTACTACTCACACTTAACATTTTTTTTTTTTTATTTCAATGCTGCAAATTATTATTGAATTACTATTCACGGTTTTTTATTATTGCTCAAATATTAAGTATAAAACAATTACTCTATTATTGACAAACTTTTTTTTTTAGAAATAAATAAATAAAGAATCATCCTGTTTTCATACCACCTTGCGCTCAATATCTCGGTGCAATTTTTTTTTCATTTTTAAGAAAAAATTATGTTATTATTATAATGACTCAAAAATTTTAAGAGAATTAATTCGATTGGATTGAAAGAATTGTTTATGATTTGATGATTACTACAGCTCTTAATTTTTTCTTCTAACGGTTTTTTACGTAGGCTTATTCCACTCGTCATTATGCCTGTATCAATTCAAAGAGTAATTAGTTAATGTTAAAAAAAACTTTGAACGCAACAGATGAAATACTGATGTATATTGAAAAATGTAAGTATTAATAAGCTCAATTAGACTGTACAATAAAATTGTATTTACGTTATTGACTCGGACAATTAAAATACATACATAAATTATTTAAGCAGTACATTTATACATGATTAGCTAATGAGGATGTTTGTAATACTGCATTGATGAACATAATACTGATTATTTCGTGCATAAAAAAGCAAACGAATAAAACAAAAAACAGATGTTAGTTAGAATATTTACAATGTTATTTACTTTGAGGTTTATGTTTTGGAGTGATATTAAGTTTATGTTTATATATTTTTGAATTCAATGAATTAAGGTAATCTTTTGTTTCTTCAAAATTTAATGCAGTTGTACCACTGATGGAAAAACAAGACCGAATGAAACAAACCGGATCCAATATATCCGTTTCCTTNTTTGACGTCGGAAAAATAAGAAAAAACTTTTTCTGGTTCAGCACCAGCGTGCGGTTAAGTGAAAATAGCGTAGACCAACATTTTTCAATTTAGGTATAATAAATTACCGTTTTTAGAACGCATGTTAATCGTTTTATTCTAAATAACATCGACTTCTAATTGACATAGTTAAGCTTTGTTGTTAACAAAATATGATGGTAACAACGTGATCTCTTTTTTAAATAATTTGTAGTTAACATCACTGTACGAAAAAGACCTTTCAAGATCCTGAACTACATTTGGGTTTTCTCTCCAAAATTTGTTGCTCAATACATTTGCAGGTTGTAGAAAATAACTCGCGATGCGGAATATATGTATATCATTAAAATAAATAACTCGCTGATAGTTATTACGAGTGGATGTGTTCGTGAAATCAACCCTTGCGTTGACCTGAGCGCCCCCCTCAGTTTGATTATAGTATGTCACGGGCTTCTTTAAATGTATTTGTCTTATTTCTTTGTCTACATGCCATTAAAATTAAAAAATTCAATTCCATTACCTATCAGACTGAGAGACTTGCTCTCCTCATTTAAGGCAACGTCCTGCAAATATTTCCTGCCTTAAACTAGAGAGACATAGGTAACAAAGTGGAAAAATTAATGTCTTAGTAAAGTCTATCATCCTTGGCATTAATAAATTTTGTTAAAATAATCTATTAAATCTCTATCTGTCTCTCTCTAATACTACCATACCAAAAGCCGGATGTAGTGGGCACTTTGCTATTTGGTGTCGCACTGCCTCCTGGAGCCTGGTGTAGACATTGTTTTAATGGTGATGTAGATCTATCCTGAAAGAGTTCAACCATTGTAACTATTGAGGACTTTTTTTGAGTTCCAAGCTCTGGTGGCTTGATAAACCTGCGACATAGACTGCCTATATTACGACTTTTACCTCATTTGCTGACTGGTTTCAGCTGCCTGGCTTTGTTGACGAATTCATACTGATGCCCCTTATAGATGTCATGTATCTGTATGCAAAATAACTTTAAACTAGTGTTCAGTTAGTATACTTTAAGAAGCTTGCTGCAGTGCAATGCAATAATCATATTTATATTAATTACAAAATTTTAATATTATTCGTAAAGGCTTTTACCTTACAAAATAAATTCGAAAATTGAAGCAGTAAAAATGTTACTTGGTAATTTAAGTAAAGTAGATAGCTTATGTTATGTAACAAAATTAAAAGTAACAGAATTATTGAAATATTATATTGGAGCCAACGTAATGACTTACGAAAAGTTAGAAATTAATAAAATATCTTACTTCTTAAAAATTGAATTTAACACCTTCGTTTTGGGCCCTTTTTTTTAAACAAACGTTATTCTTAAGTAGAATATTTCATGGTGCTTTTTTAGATATAAAAATCCAGGCAACGTTTACATTTGGTAACAGTCAGAATATCATTTATAAATAAAAACTCTCACCAGGAAATAAAACTTGATTGAGTTAATTTCTATAACTCTCATGTTAATATAAAGCGGTGGGTGGTTGGCGCGAAGGTTGGTTGCAATAAGGAGCAGCAATCCTAGTTATAGGTATGTGTGTGTTTTTGTGTTTACTTATGGATTAATCTTACTTCACTTTTTTCCAAAATAATTTAACAAGTAATAGTCTTAGAGAAAGTTTGATTGGATAAAAATCTTAAAAAGGACGAAGTTAAAAGTGCAGTGTAGTAAGAATAAAGGTAAAGTAAATACTAGTGAGCAAGTTAAAGATGTCGTCTTCTATCTCGACACTTATCAATGTCTTTCTCTCTTTGTTTCTCTCCTCCTCTTGTTTCTATCTCTCTCTTTCAGCGTCGCTCTTTACATGGAAAGAAAATTTCGACTCATAAGAGCTTGAAATTATTCTGCACTTGTTGGTACTAATATTCCTAATTGTATTCTATCGAATTGTCAATACACTTGTTAAAACTCTCATTATCACTTAACGATACTGTTAACAGTTAGAATGAACATAAAAGGTGGCATGACATTCAAATCTCAATAATTTTATCCATTCCGATGTAATACTTTCAATTAAGAGTCTTTTTGAAACTTAATTTTAGTAACTAACGCATTATGGCACATGTAATATACAAACATGACTTGTAAAACTAAATAATAATTATTTCAATGACAGGCGTATCATATAGCTGGGTGCTAGCCAAATGTCCTTGATAGCTTAAAATAAATATATAGTTCTATTGTAAAACAGCCTTTTTTCCATTCTACCCCATCTTTTATTAAATTTTACATGAGTACGTTCTGAAGTGCATGCTTGAGTTGCAGGAAATAAAGTAGAGCTTGCATCTAATCTCAACAAATTTTCACCTGTTTGGGTTTATTACTGTATGTTTTAATATACCAGATGATAAAATTTAAATCACCTAACTGTTTATTTAATTTATGTATTAAAATGAGATGATAAAAAACACTGTTATTTAATTTTAAGTAATTATTTATGTTATATAAACCATGTTATAATTATTATTGTTTGCCTATTTATGCCTGCTAAAAATGAATAGTAAATAATGACTGTATGAATTTTTATGTAATAAAATATTGTTTTGTAGATACCACTTGACTTGTAATACTAATTAATGAGTAAAACTTGTTATATTTTTATTTTTAACTAACATGGTTTATATTACCTTTAAATTTCAGAGTCTTGCACTGTGTACCGCAACAGTTATGTTTGTGTTAAGTCAAGATCGACTTGCCATGGATTTAGACAGAGATTGTCTTGAACTAATGTTAAGTCTACTCGAATCTGATGCTAGCCACAAAAATGCTCTAAATGATTGTGGTTTAAGTCATGCAGAGTTATTAAAAAATAGAGAAAAAGTACGGCAGCTATGCGCAGATATTCAAGAGCAAGGACATGCACAACATTTAAATTTAGACAATATTACTGTAAGTAATCTACAGATTTAATTTATCTTTTTTCATGGACATCACTTTATTTATTATGAGTTATTTTTGTTTTTCCTTAAGAAAAAAGTAATTTAGAAACAGCTAAATAATCTGCAAGTAATTTATAGAGAACTGACACATATGCATACATAAGTTTTTAAAAATAAATTTAAAAAATGTTCCTTTAAAGTAAAATAGTAAAACTTGAAATAATTTATTCTCTATACTGGCAAAGAAAGTAATGAAGTTACTAGATGCCAAGTTAAATGAAATTTCGATATGTTGCAGAGTAAAATCAAATATTTTAAACGTATGTCAGCTTTAACATTATATTTTTTTACAAAACAAAATAAAGATTATTTCTAGAGCAAAGAACAAAAAATTCTTACTTGTATAAGTAGTATGGATTGCATCTCGTGTTTTCTAGGGGATGAAAACCATTTTTTTTTTCATTATTATTAAATACTAAATTAGAAAATCACAAATGAAAATAAATTTTTATTCATAAAATTTATGACTAAAGTTTCAGCAATTTCATCAATTTCACTCATAAGGGTAATGTACACCTTGAAAAAATCAAGAAATACACATTTTGAGTAGTTCAATTTCGTACAAAGTTTAGGGGTTTTAGAGGTGGCTGATTGCAAATATATCATCAGGTTTTGAAAATTCAAAATAGCAGATCCAATATGTTAGACGAAATAGTCCAAAAAATTTTAATTTGATAACGAAGAATGGTGTAAAAAGTTTTTGAGATTAGTTATTACCAATCTGTCATCAAATTTTGGATATTCAAAATGGCAGATCGAACGTAGTGGACGAAATAATGCAGAAGATGCCAGTTTTTAGGATTTCGAAATATCCTTCACTATAAAACCATACTACTTCAAACTCTTGAAAATTAGACAAACATTAAGCTGTCTTCTTATTTTACCAATAAACTCAAAACTTCGAAGCTCTAAATGTCGAAACTGACATTTTTAAACAAATCAACTTGAAACTCCAAAGCCTCTGACAGACTGGAGGCCTGTCGTTTATTACCAATAAACCTCCAACTCCTGAATCCTGAATAAACATGTAGCCCATTTTTTTCTTAACTAATGTACACAATATTTCTAAAACCCTATACAAGCTTAGGCCCGTATTTTTGAACCAACAATTTTGAAACTCCTACGCTGCAGACATCCCAGAAGCCTGTGTTTTTAACTGATAAACCTCATACTGGCTGTAAATCTGTGCTTTTTATCTGATGCACCTCTAAACTTCTAAACTTCAGACAGACTGGAAGTCTCTACTTCTTAGCCAATAAACGTTTAACTACCAAGCGCCAGGCAAACCAGAAGCCTGTATTTTTTAACCGATTTACCATAATCTCTTGAACCTCAAGTAAGCCAAAAGTCTGTATTTTTTTAACCGTTACACCTCAAACTTCTACACTATTGATAAACTGGAGGTGTGTTTTTTTTAATCGATAAATTCTGAACTCCAGCAGGCCGGTATCCTATGTTTCTTTACCGATAAACCACACACTTAGCTATAATAGGTTCTAAGCTGTGCATGTATGATTTTGAGATTCTAAGGGGTTCTAAAGTTCTAAAAAAAGATTTTTTTTTTTTAATCAATAAGCTCTAAAACGTAAAGTGACCTACACTGTTCCACCATTCCCTACATATGCTACTAAAGCTCCGCCTCCTTGCGTGCTCTGCTTCCCAACCTGTTGATCGCTAGTGAATTTTAATAACATGCAAACCAATCTTCTTTTTCTAGTATGTCATTTTTTGTGATTTAAAAAACGTAATACGAATAAGACTTAATTCAGCATGGATAGTGTATTTTTTTTTTAATTTGATAAAAGTGATGCCAATATTTAATGGCAATTACATGCTGTTTTTTCCAGATGTAAATATCCTAAATACATTAATATTTAACATGAATTGCGAAATTTAATCACTTGGGTTTAAAAGAAATTTAAAAACTGCTTTTTGAATTCTTCCAATAATGAAACTGTTGCTTTAGTCTGCTGTCGATTATGAGAGAATCTAGATTCAGCCTCATCATCTTTTGTAACTATATATAAGTTTTTTTTCTGCTTCTTGTAAGTTGTGAAGTTTTTTGCTACACTTTATATTTGTATTCTTTAAATTCTTCAGAATTACTTTTGTCCGTGTTATTTATACTACGCTGTCGATTATCTTTGTGATATTCAGCAGATGATTTTGATATTTTGCTACACAGTTAACATAAGACAGTAAAATTGAAAATAAAATGAGTGAGGTAATGGGAACATGATAGATTTCGGACTTTAGTAAAGAAAACATTATAAAAGTGTGCATTGACAAAAAAAGTGTTACATAAAAAATTCGTACCGCTTGTTACTGGATTTTGAAGTAAAAAAAACAACTTGAAATAGTTTATTGATAGGTTGGATCAATGTTCCATCACCGATAACATACAGGCTAAGAAAAAAATGAGAAACATTTTTTGAGTGAAGTAATTTTCAATACTTTTGATGAAATTGATCGAGTTTGCAAGCCTCGCAAAAAATATTCTGAGCTTGTTACGCTAATAAAAAACCGCCTAAAACCTGAAGCATTATATTAAGTGTACAAAACAAAATCCTGTCAATTCAGTCAATTAGAGGACTGCAAAGTAAAGAAATTAAAATGAAACTTGTGAAAATAGAAAGTCCAACGATGGTGATGAAAGTAAAAAAATGGTTGGCTTGCAAAGCAGCACATGTAGAAGCAAAGAAATTACAATGCAAATAAAGTTCTACGGATTATAGTAAAGTACATAAAGTAAATATTTAACTTAAGAAAAATACAGCAAAGGCAGACATTCTAGACGTAGAGGCAGAGGTACTCAAGGATATTCTACGAATTCAATAACACTAATAATACCATGGGTAAAATTATCACAACGAGGAAGATACTGACCAGCAGCAATAGCAATCGAAGCTTCAAGATATTGTGACTGTGATAAAGTGAACCATTTTTCGCCAGAATGTTATTATCGCCAGTATTCGTGTAATATTTGTAAGCGTTCTAGTTATTTAACTACGTTAACTATTAAAAGCGCGTGCGTGAGTAATAAAAAGAATGTGACAGTTAGTTATGTAGTTTCTGCAAACAAAGACAGCGGTACAGATAGTGTAACACGAGAAATAATACATTTCACTTAATTTTTTATGAAAATTCATTCTTTTGTTGTGGTAACTGTAGTACCGTTAACGTATATGAAAAAGTTTTTTTATAATTAAAATGTTTGAATCGGATACCACGCTCATTTATCACTGTATAAACCAGTAGGTATGGCAAGTAAAAGTGGAAGCAGACGAAATTTGTGTGTCTACTGATGTAGGGTCATTGAGTTGGATTGATAGCTTTTATTTTATTATTTAAAATTTTATGCGATTGTTCTGAAAATTGAAGTGAACGAGAAACTGAAAAGTACTTTAAAAAAACCACGAATTCGTATGTATGGGTAGGAGATATTTGTAACAGGTGAAATTAAATTGGAGTTAGAAGAAGTTAGTAAGCCAAAATATTTGCTTGTGCAAATAGTATGAATGGCGTTAAAAAAGCGAATTGTAAATAAGTTGAATCGACAAGGAAGATCGACCTAAGGATAGATCGAAGTGATTAAGCACTCTGAAACTGCTACTTCAGTAGTGCTTGTGCTTAAATCAAATGGTAGTATATGCATGGGTGCCAGTTTTACAGTTAGTTAAAATATTCGATTAATTAAAATAAGGCATGCAGCTTTGAATTTTGATTATGCAGTAGCCTGGTAGCAGACAAACATAAGATATTCGAAAATATATCTAAACAAAGCATATGAACAAGTTCACATCAGATGTTGCTTACAGCTAACACGCACATGTGATGGTTAAAATGTAAATACATGTCTTTGAGAATAAGTCCAGGCCCAGTAATTTTTCAGCTACATATGGAGATCACAAAGAGCATTCCTGGAGTAGCGATTGTTGTGGATGACATAGTTGTAACGGGTGAAACAACGGATAAGCAATCGGTAAATTTAAATAGTCTGAGAAAAATTGATTGATGTAAGTGGGAAAAAGTGGAAATTTTTTAAATATTAGATAATTTAATTGGGTTCTGGAAGTAGTCGTTCTTAAATAAAAATTGACCCACATGAACATCACGCAATGTATGGAACAAGTCGGCCCGCGGATAATGATGATTTACAGTTATTTGTGGTAGACTAAATTATTATGAAGAGTTCATAAATAAGTGTGCAGAAAAACTTGTGGCATTAATCGAATTTTATGGAAAGAAGAAATTTTCTTGGAATAAAGCACGTGAAGAAACATCATAATCCGCAATTACCACTTATTTTGAAATTTGATACACTGTCGCAAAGGTTTTTAGCATATTTAAGCCAACATTATTCAGGCGATGAAAAGCTAGTAACGTTAACTTTAAAACAGCTTGATGAAGTGCAAAAAGTAAATGGATAAAGAGGCAGCTGCCAAAACTTTCGGAGTATCGCGATTTCATGACTATGTATGTGCACATAAATTTATTTCAAGAACGAGAAGCAGACCACTCCATAAAAGTTTTGGACCAGAAAAAGAAATAACGCTGAGTGCAATCAATTGTGTCTTAAAAACGATGTATCAATCGATCGTGGTTGTTTAATGTATAGGTGACGTGATTTTACTACGAAATATCCTTGCGTAAATTGTTCAACAATTAGGCAAGTGCCACTTGAGCATTATTAAAATGAAATCTCTAGCAAGATTAGTTTTGTGGTGGCCCGGTCACTCTCAGCGAAAATTACTCACTAATTCTATGGGAGCTTACATGAGTCTTACATATTTTTCGTTATTAGATGCACGTTCTAAGCGGACAAATACATTCATTGTAAAAAGTATATCTGTGAGCGTGACAGTTGATTAATTAAAAAAAAAATTTCATTCACGGACTGTCTCGTCACGTAGTTACGAATTCTGAGACACGTATTAAGAGTGAAGAATTTCAGTCTTATTTAATAAATTTAGGATTTTTTGGCACCAAATTTACGGGCTCAAAATGGGGTAGCAAAAACTTTTCTTAAAACATTACAATGGAATGTAAAAGCTATGTAGTAAATACCAAAAGATTTGGTGTACAAACAGCGATTTATAGACTTTTATCTGATTATATAACTACAAAACATTGCACAACGGTTAATTACTTATTACATAATTGTTTAACTGTAAATTAGGAATTTCCTTACATTGAGTACAACTAGATGTTAAATGATGTATTAAACAAAATCAGGAAAATCAGGTAATAAATAACATTGATGAGCGATTCAAAAAATTTGAAGAAAATGATCTTACAATGGCAAAATACTTCGGTAAATATTCTAATCCAACGATAGAAGCAAAAGTTTTAAAGAAGCTGTTTTCAAGTAGTTGTTTCGTTGAACTTCATGGGGAGGAGTCCATAAATCACGTGAGAATCAAACCTCCGGATCTCCAATATCCCTCATAGTTCCTTTACCATTAAGATGATGTAAAATTTTAATTAATTCTTTGTTTTTTCTTGTTATTTTTTTATGTTGAATATTATTAGTGGAGCAGAATTTACTTATATATTAAAAATAGTTCCGAGTATAATGTACGTTCAAAAATTCAAAGATGTTGCTATGCTTCAAGTCTAGTAAAAATTTTTAACGAATACCGAGTCAGTTAAATATCGATAACTCATTTTCAAAGTTTATATAATGTAGATAACATTTGACATTAGTCTGAGCTTTTTTTATGAAAATTAACAAATTATACCATCAATGATTCGATGAGTGGATATTTTATGACATAAAACTCTTATTTTTTCATGATATATTTTATGACATAAAACTCTTATTTTTTCATGATTAACGGTATTAACTACAATTGAGATGTGAAAACTCTGATCACATATTTCTACTGCATTATTTAAATGATTTTAATAAAATATTAAAACTACATTTGTAAGTCATGTAAAATAAACGATTCATTCATCGTTTTTTCTAAAACCTGGAGATGACAAATTTTTTTTCAAAAAGTACTATTTCGCATTTTTTATCTACATTTTATAAAATTATCGTAAAAAATACAAATCTCTGGAAGAAACCAACCTGTTCGTATATTTTGCTGATTGTTAACTCAACTATCTTTATTTATATTCTTTATGTTGCAAAACTTTATTATTTCATTGATGACATTACCTCTCGTCTGCGATAAAAAATAATAGAGAAAAAAATTTTAATAATAAGGCAAACCACTTATTTAATCTATTCTTATTAGGTATAACAAGCTACTACTACTACTAATTTTAATTTCCTGTTCCTAATAAGCACCCTAATTTGTCTTTCATTATTTGCTAATTAGTTGCCAAATTCAAAAATTTGTCGCTCTAGTCAGTTTATAACAAATAGATATAGTGCTAGTCTGATATCAAGTTAGCACATCATTTAGCATATTTACTGAAGCAAACTTACACCCACCAAAATTTGTCGCTAATTTGTCGCTGAAAGATAGCACTATTGCTGCTTTTTTTTACAAACCCAACGTCCAACTGTCCAGTGATTAACGTATTCGAAGACGTCTAACTAGTTCTACATCGAACATATCTCCTTGTCGGAGCTACATTGAGCAAATGTGCAGACAGTAAAATTTTCCTCTTATTTTTTGCTAAACTTAATTTATTTACATTTTTAACGTCACAAAAAGCAGCTGAAATGGCCCAAAATCACACGGGATTCCAATAGTCTCGCCCAAAAATCGCACAAGTTGCTTTATTAAAAGTAAAAATCTGTAATTTTTATTTTTATTACCTCTAAGCTGTCTCAATTAACACAGTTTAAAGTACTATAAGGCTGAATTCTCAGGTGATTATGTGCCGAGATTAGGAATTAGAAAGGAAGCAAGACACACCAGAAATAACGATTTTTACGGGTCTTCTAAAGGAGATTAATCATTGCGGTGCACAAATAGAGAGGTGTTAACTTATGTGAAAACATAACCTTAAGTTTCAGTGTTTTCAATATTTCTGTATAAAATCAACGTAAACAATTTCATAAAAAATCAAAGCATATTTGCAAAGTAATTATAAATGAGTAAAATATGTTCTTTGTGCTTTTTCTCAAATATAACTTTTAAAATTATTTCAAAAACTCAAAATCTCTAACGGAAAGATTGATTGATAGAATAGAAATAAGAATTTTCATTCATGCTCGCATGTGTGTAATCTAAATAAGAAATTTTATTTTTGATTACATTAGTGCGCTTAGCCTAATACTATGGACCTTTATAGCCACAGTATAAGTACTATACACATTCCGGAGCACACATTATAATGAACATGCTTATAAACATCCATAACTTCCAAACCCTTATTTGTTTATTTACAAACTTTCGTTCTCTGTGTTGATTCTCACATATTTTGATTACTTTCGAAGTTTTTATTTCTACGGTGTATCTTATGTGACGCACCCTATTTTTTTCAAGTGGATTTTTTGTGAAAACCAAAAAAATATCATCAATGCAATAACTTTACACAATTGACAAGGAGTTAGAAGAGTTTGTAAACTACGACCAAACAACGTAAGCGTATTTAAGGTAATGCATTACCGTCAGTCAAACTGTAAAGCTCACGTTCATGATAGTTATAATTATTACTATCTCTGACAACTCAAAGTGGTTAAAAAACACAATAATAGATGATCCATAGTTCATTAAGTCCTCAAAAATCTAACAAGTCTGCAATTTTCTCTGACCAGGGGCTTTGCACTCATTCTTTATTAACCCAACGGCTTGCATACAGCAAATTGTCTGTTAATAGTGGGATTGGAACTCTGTCAATATACACCCTTGTAGACAAGGTAGAAAGCTGCGAGAGAAGGCTTTTATTAAGTAGTGCTCTAGTTAGTTGAGTAATTATTGTATAAAAACATTTGGTTCTAATAAAGTAAATGTTGAATATCATTAAGCAATAGAATAAAATGTACGTCTTACAATAAAAAGGTTTTGTAATCACTGTCAACATAAACAGAACAGTGCATGATATAATTAAAATAATTTTGTCTTTTATAGGTAATATAAAAGTGAAACCATGTATTTAAAACTGGAGAAAGTAGGTATGCTTATTCAAAAGTTTTGACAGCCCTTATAATAAGAGTGAGTAACAATTTAATGAAACACATTTTTTAGTCTCTAAATCGCTACTTTGATCTAGTCCATCAATGCCATTAGGTACCACTAAACATCAGGTAATACTAAACAAAAATTGGTTTTTTTTTTTTTTTTTTTTTNTTTTTAACATTGAACGTACGTACGAATTATTTTAATATTTTTACCACTCGCATTTTTGAGAAAAAACTTATTTTCTTTCACAATTTTATATAGGCTTTTATGGAGGTCATTAATTGAATTTTATTCAATGTAACTGTTTTCAAAGTGGTTCTTGGGATTTTTTTCTTTAAGTTGTTTATTTTTTTCTAATAAGCTTATTTTGATTTAGGAGACATTTTTGAACTGGTTTTAAAAAGTTTTGATTTATTCAAGTGACAGTTTGAATACAACTTAACTACTAAACCCCATAGAGCCAACGTTAAGTTGTGAAATTAAATGAGTTTTTTAAAAATATTATTTAAGTTTCTACTGTATCACGTACTACTGTATTGGGTAAGTATTTATTTAGTCTTGGTTTTTTTACGTATTTGTAATTACATGAAACTTAGCTTCAGATTTTTTAGATTTGTGTGATTTAAATAGTATTCAATTATAATTTAACTGGAAGTGAATTGCAACTGCAATCGTAAATTATAAATTACATGGTATCTAAAAAAACTCGTGCCTTATTTTTTATGTTAAAGAATTTCAGCAGTATCATTCAGAGAGAAGAGGAAGGGGAGCCCCAAGCCTGTGTAGCTTGGTATTTATTACTGCGTACCTCCTCTGGCAACCCAACAAACTTAATGTTTTTTTACGTTAAACGTTGGTATTGTTTTAAATGCACTTTAATATCACTTTCAAATTTATTGCTAAATCGTTCAATGATATTTCATTTGTAGGTAAGGTTTTTTTAGTAGTTTTGCAGCTTCCAACAAATTAAGTCCATGTGAACGACATAAGGTTACGTTTCATATGATAATCACATTATTATTATTTTTGTAATTTTTCAATGTAACCTACAGAAAGTATTCCAAAAAATTTATACAGGCTCAATATATTTCATATTATCAAGAAAAATTTATACAACCATTATCTGCATCTTTTATTTCTACTTCCCAACCTTCTTTCTAGTTTTTGGGTACTATGAATTGAGACAAGTTGCGTTTAGAAATTTGAAAGATTTGACCTTATGCAACCCAATCCTATTTTTAGGTGCTTTATTATAACATTCGTATACATTCATGTAGATATTTAAATGGTATTCGATCGTGCTCCAATCATTATTTTATTCTTTAATTATTCATGCTTTAGTGTCTTCCTTTTCAATTAAAAACAGTTTTCTACGACTTGAGTCTAATATTGATCCAAATTTTATTATATTTATGTGATACACGAGCTAATAATAATTTTAAAACATTTTATCAAACTCATATATTGATTATTTTTTTTGAAAATGAAGTTAAAATATTTCATAAAAATTAAAAAAACAATACAATTTTTAAAACTCTTGTATACATTTCATAATCATAAATAAATAAATTACTACACAAGCAAGCGTTAAACAACCCAGCCGTTTATCAGTATTGTGAGATAAAAAATAATGTGCTGGGTGAGTTGGAGTCGGTTGTTAAAATCAAACTGTTCATCGGTTGTGTTTATTACGTATTAATTTTTGTAGTGAGCAATAATTATTAATGATTATTTAAACTTGTTTTCCTTATTTATTATTATCAAAATAAATTAAATAGCAAGCAATTATTGGTGACACGTAACAAACTATTTCTGAGCATTCTTTGATAAAAAATAATTTATTATTTGGCAACCGAGCATTGGCAAGAATTAACTCAATATTTTGCAATATAGTTTGATAAAAAAAGTTAGGGGTAAGCAAGCGTTGGTGATAGGTAACCTAACTGTATAGTTTTTAGTACGTTTTAATAAACAGAGTCGTTTTTGTCACATAAACGCCATTGCTACTTGGGCTATTTTTTTGCCAGAGAGACCGTAAAGTAACCCCGATTGGATGGTGCTTTTGAGATGAACACTGTTTTTCTACCCAAGGTGCAGTATCCGTCCAAATGTTAAGAAAAATGCTCAAGGTAGGAAACAATTTTTAAGGCAAGCTAGCAACATCCGTAGGAATCCTATTTTTGTTAATATATTAATTAACATAAAAATCAATCAGTATGCATAGTCAGAAATATTCAACTAAAATTTTATTTATTTAATACTATAAAATAGATTTCTTACTTTTTTCTAACTCTTATATTTATCAATTTTCTTACTACAATACTTTAAATAGAAAATTTACGCATTACGTACTAATTTTTGTAACAGACAATACTGAGAAATCGTTTTTTTTTGTATTTTTTTTTGTGGATGTTATTATCATGAAATACTGCTAAGCAGTTTAGTAACGTATTGCTGATTGTTTTTCTTTTAGTAGTTAATTTTTTTTATTAGTCTGGACAATTGTGTGTTTGTAAACTTTGTATGTTGAATTTTAACTTTACTTCTGAAGTAACAGCAAGTGTATAAGATTAATAAGAAATTGAATGAAAAAAAAAAATCTTTTGTGAGTAATTTAGAAAGGTTTACTATTGGAAGACTAATAATGACTTAGATCAAGATGAAATGACAATTAATCACTGTTTAGTACTATAAGGCTGAATTCTCAGGTGATTATGTGCCGAGATTAGGAATTAGAAAGGAAGCAAGACACACCAGAAATAACGATTTTTACGGGTCTTCTANTAATAATTTGCGTCATCAGGTGAGTATGTCGAAGCTTTCCTGAAAAATATTGTAATTTTTAGTATACTTATAATACTTTTTTTAACACCACTTTTCTCAGTGTACGCATTGGTTGAGTGCTCGTAATAACATCCTTTTTAATTATTCCTGCAATACGGTTCGATTTCATTGGTCCGATAATAACTGATAGGTATAACACGTGTTTCAATCAATGGGAACGGTAATCAATCAATTTGAAAAAAAAAGAAATTCTGTTGGACATTCATACGTTGGATGTGCACGTAGATTTTATACTGGCAAGAGCA